GCCCTCTCTCCTCCACCCTTCCTAACACACCCAAAGCCACTTTGGAGCCAACCACCAGATCCCACACTTTTCACCACAGAGCTGAGGATTAGAAAAGAAGGCATTTCCCGAACGGTCTGCGGCTTATGCGATGACATGATTGTCATTCACTTTAATTCCCTTTGGATTCCGTCTTGCCCGATTCTTCTGCTATGATAAAGCACAGACAAAACTGTAAATAACACTTTTGAAACCGTCCGAAGCTCCTGTGCAGACATGCTCTCTCTGGAAAGGTATTTAAGTTTTTATTGTCAAGATGAAAGACATATTGAAAACTGTTCCCAACAGCTGGTTATTTGCTGCTGGAGAAGACTGATATTTCTTTGTGTGTGTGGGTGTGTGGTTTGTTTATCTAAAATATTTTTTTCAAATACAAAAAAATATAATCAAACAAGTTGAACTAGAAGTCAGTAAGCTCTCCCACAGATATAAATTACTTCCATGTTGCACTCTGAGGCATGATGTGGGTCTGCTTTCCAGGCCGCGCAGACGCCAAACATGTCTCCTCTCTGATCTCAGCTCCACTGATCCATCCAGTGATGTCTCCATGAAGCTGCAGGGCAAGAGCGAGAGTCTGGAAGTCAACACGGAGATGAAGGTTTCAACGCACCTGTGTGAAGACAGCAGGACGCGAGCGACAGAGGGTGGGAGGGGAACAGGAAGAGGCTTTGTGCGTGGCCGGAGAGATCAGAGTGACATTTTTCCTACCTTCTTCTATCAGACTTTATCACCGAATTTGTTGGGAAAAGTTGGGGAGGTGGGGCTTCGTAGCTGCTTTGTTGTGAGGCTTTGTGCTCTGAGATCCTCCCTACCTGAGGGCCTGGCTTTTAAACATCTTTCATGTCTGAGAGAGAACGTGGCATCTGTTCTCTCTTCAAAGAGCCAAAGCTGAGACACAACAATATGAGGATTGAAATTTATTTCTTGTGTGTGTTTAACATCCTTTAGATAATCTGCTAAAGGCGAGGGAATCCACAAAAAGCTACAATGCCTTATTCCCTTTGAGCATTTTCCACCTTTTGTCATTTTGCACCTGTGTAGTAGTGAACAATTGTAAAATGGAGGAACTCTTCATTTTTACAACTGTTTATCAGAAAGAAACGTGAACACTTTGGATTTGTATTTTGGCTCTTTTTTGTCTTTTACTCAGATATTCCTAAATACATTCAAATGAGTTGTTTTTAGTAAACACCTATTATGCAAATATTAGAGTATTTGGTCCCCTAAACAGAAGATGTCTAGAGCTACAACAGCTACATAATTCCTAAGATGACACCATTGTCTGTGAATAGCCATCCTAGAACTTGGTTAGAAAATGGACATGTTATAATTGAGTTTTTAAATATTTTTGCATAAATGAATTGGCTACTCATCTTGAATTTATGAAAAATTACAAAACATTTTTTCATATGACAAAATCTTGAAAAAACACTGAAGATTTTTTTTTTTTTACAATTAGATTTCAAATCAAATGGTAGAAAACAAAATACTATGTCTCACAACTTAAGTGTTATTCTGCTGTGGAAATGTAATGTAGATATTGCATTAAAAGCACAGAAACAGCACAGGAAATAGCTTGCTTATCTGTTACATTGGGTTGAAATAAAATAAAATAAAATAAAAACATCTGTTTATCTTTTATTTTAGCTTGAATGGTCCACAAACTTGCAAAGTTGCAAAGGACCAAACCAGCCATGTAGGTTGCAAATCTCAAAGTAAGTATTAATTCAGGTGGGCTTTTCAGATATTTATTTGTAAGATAAAGTTTTTTCTTTCACTTCACAAATGTGCTTCACAAATGTGCTTCACAAATGTGCTTCACTTTGTGTTGGTTTTATTGAAATTCCAATAAAACCAATTGGAGTTTGTTTGTAACATTGCGAAAAGTGGAAGACTTTAAAAAGCACAATAGTGTATTTAGTGGTCAGTGGGAATTGTCTTTATTTTCTATTCCAGATGTTTAATGTGTGGTAATAGCATTGTAGGAAAATGCAGCCATGGATCTGCTAAACAACTTTCTCCTGAGTGGTGATTTTAACACTGACTGCAGTGGCTCCAAGGGTTCTACAGGGAATTGCAAATAGGTGACAGCTTCTCCCTCATCCTGGAAATTACAAAATTGGAGTGGAACATTCACCCATGGCTGCAGAGGATTTCTAATTTGCTGTAATGGCTGACACATGTACGTGCCATCGGCAGGCCTCTGGCCATGGAACTCTGTATCTATTGGCACACGCAACAGGGATGCAGCACCAGAACAAACCTGCGGGCGGGACAGCTGGAAATATCGCCTGGATTGCACACACGCACGCATAAACGCCTGCATATGAGTGTGAACTCACCGACGCTGGATCCAGCTTTGGTCTTGCTGCGTACACTCAGGCGCAGCTCAGAGCTTGCATATCTGTTTTCCACAGCCCTGCCTGTGTGCTTCTTTAATCTCTCTGTTTACACTCCACGGTCCAAACCTGTCAGTGCAGCTCAAGACGGAGCAATTATCACAAAGGGTATAGAAATTAATATGTCTAATGAAAGCAAGGCCGAGACTGTGACCTTGCTCCCGCTGACTGGGCGAGAGCAATTACAAAACATGTCATTATTGTATGTTTGCTTTTACACAGTGCCATGTTTGAGTTGGAATCATCAATCATTGACTTTTTTAATGTTTAACTTGAAAACTTTTTCCATTGTTGAAGTGAAAAGTTTGACATTTCGAAGGGAAATTTTGCAAAGATTTTTATAAAGAACTGGATTCCATTCCAGATATAGTAAAAGCGAGTCGCTCCACCTGACGACTGGGGGGGAAAAGCAAGACTGGCTCTGTCCACTGGTAACATAATACACCTACCAAGATCTCTAAAGCTCTCTAATTAACATTCTCATGTCTTGTTTGTTTGGTTTGTGCAGAGCCTGAAATGAAAACAGTACTTTCACTTGAAATAAGGCTGCGTTATGAAATATCAATTAGTCTTTGAGATATTTTTATTATTCTGATTTCAATTTAAAACTACTGTAAATCTAATTTTATTGGTCCAATGTCACATTCTGGTTGGGAAAATTTCTTTAGTATCCATGAGGTTTCTACATGTTCACCATTTTCAAAATTAAAAACTTCAGACGTTTTTTTTCAGTCTGAGGCTTTCATCACATTATAGACATTTGATTATATATATACCTTACTAATTCTTATAAGACAGACGTTCTACATAGTTGTTGAGGATGGAGTACAACATGTTTCCAGTCACTTTGAGACAATATCGAAAGAAAATCTCCTGCAAATTTTCAAACAGCTCAAAAGTTTGAGCTTGGAAGACAATATTGTTTTTCAAATACGAAGCTGTGAGTTTGATCCACTGAATTCAGTCTGATGCATCATTAGTATCTGTTACATAAAAAACCTAGAATGGAATAATGTATAACAAAGAAAGAGTTAAATATATTTAAAATAAACTGGTAAACATATGAACTGAATAGAAATGCCTGGAAAATTAATACCTATAGGTGAAAACAGCTGTGGAACTACCTCGTCAACAAACTCCATCGTTTTATTGGAAATTTAATTAATAAAGATTAGCAGGATACAGAAATCCTTGCTAAGTTCTAGATTTCTTTTTCTGTAACGTTCTTTTTGTCTCAACTAATAAGTGCTTCATTTTATTGTATCTGAGCTGCAGTCCTAACTTTAGTCACTACAAAATAACAAAGTACATTTTCTCTTCTCTTTTCTTTACGTCATAAAACCTCAGTTTTTTTAAAGACTGTGAGCTAATGCTTTTGAATATGGATTAAAACACATAACAGTCCAACTTTACAGTAAGACTGCAATGTGGATTCATGATCTCTCTCTGAGTATTCATTGCTTAAGGGTTGAGACGCTCAACTCTTCCTTAGATAGATTATCCACCCTTTGCCACTCCACCCTCTTCTTTTTTATCCTCTTGTCCTTCAAAACCGATTCCACAAAGTCAGTTCAAAGTCTGAACTTCTTCTCAATGTCAGAAGAAACCTTACACCTGCTTTACAAAGTCAGAGAAACATCCCAGCGCTGATCCCTCCTGCATGTAGCCTGAAGGTGACAATCTCAACCTGTCATGCTGTATGAGGTCGTGAGCTATTCCTCTGCTTTCCTGGGCACTCCGGTTTTAAATGTATGCTTCAGATGTCTGTGTATTGGTTTCGTGTTGTGTCTCAAGGTGCAACCGGAGCACAAAAGGACTCAAGAACTCTCAAAGGAATGATGTCGATCGAGGTTCAATGAGGGTGAGAATCATAAAGCTAAAACTTTAAAACTTTAAAACTAAGGTGGGTTGAAAAGATATTCCTGCATCTGGAAATGTTCCATATTTGCTCACGTTGCAGCCACAAAGTCCAATGAAATGAGAAAGCAATTGTTGAGAGAATACCATAACTAGTGTGTTTAAAGTTTGTCTCAAGCTATGTAAGAGATACAGCCAACATGCAAGGACAGATGTTCAGTATCATGATGTTATTCTTCATTACCTGCTGGGAAGATGCTCAGAATTGATGGAAAAATGGATTTAAAAGACTTAAAAAGACTCTGTACTGATACAGATATCTGTATCAGAATAAAAGCGGCTGAATAGAAATGCACGCCACACTTCTCAGGTTCTTTGAGAAAGCTAAAAAAAGGTCTAATTTTCCTTTTTTGTGTGTGTTAGTTTTTGCAGCAACGTTTGTGGCATTTCAAAAATGTGGAAAAGTTCAAACGATGTGAACACTTCTGTTAGGACCTGTGAGTGCTTCAGGCTTTCATATGTGTTTTTATTCTGCTTTGGGATTGTTATGATGCATAGCAGATTGTAATATGAAACTTGTTCACACAGCGAACCGTAAGGGCCTGTCATCTGCCACTGGAGCGAAGGGTGGAGACTTGTGAGGCGTGTCGACCGAGGGGCAAATGAAGAGCGCGGAGGAGTGAACACCTCAGAGCGCACCAGCGCGCGACCAGGTCTGGGCATGAAAACAAGCTGGCGTGAAAATAAAGTGATTTCCAATTAAAAGTGATTTTGTGTGCATGTTTCATTTTCAGTTGACAAGTACTGTGAACTGAAATGGACTGCTGAGCTGAGGGAAGTTTTACTTATTTGCGCAACAGGTTCTCCCTCATCCAGATCCGATCCATGCAGGAGGAAGAAGCATGTTGTCAAGGTTTCGGTCATTTGGCGTCCAGCAGGAGATCGACTCATGGGATGTGGCGGTTGCAGAGTCAGGCTTAACTTTGGAAAGGTGCTCTCCAAGGTCTCCGTGTTCCTCACCATGGTCCTAATCTTCACTTATTTCTTTTACTGTCTCGCTGGACTTTGCGATTCGGCTCCGAGGACTTTATACAGCCAACAAGGTGCAGACGGGGGCTATGACAACGTGGACGACCGCAGCCAGGTGCAGGTGGACCTCCGGCCGCCTCCGCCTCACCACTCCGGCGCGCAGCGGCAGCTCCACAGGCGGTCAGACTCTTCGGACGCGTTGCAGGTGGACGAGCAGGGCAGCGAGAAGGAGACAAACAGCATCCCCGTTTCCAACACCTACGGGACTAAAAAGCTTCCAAATGCCATTATCATCGGGGTGAAGAAAGGAGGAACCCGCGCCCTGCTGGAGTTTTTGCGCATCCATCCGGACGTGAGGGCGTTTGGCGCAGAGCCACATTTCTTCGACAGGTTCTATGAAAGAGGGCTGGAGTGGTACAGGTAGGCTCGCATCTAAATTTCATGGAAACACAACTGTTACAGTTGCTTTAAACTATTACATTAAATAAAAAGCAGGAAACAAAAGTGTTAACCAAGTGATAAAGAAGGCTCAGTAGACAGAAATTAACCTTGTTCCAATGGAAGAAGTCTCATTTGCTCATATAAACTATCTTAAAAATTATGTCACTCAAAAAAAGGTCAAAAGCACTGTGCATGCTTTTACAAAAAAAAAGTATAAGCATAAGGAAATGCTACAGATTAAACACATGCCAAGCTGCCAACCTATGATTACAGTACACAAAGTGTGTTGAAAATATTAATGAAATAAACAAACAACCAAAAAATATTAAATATCATAATCTGTGCAATCAATCAACAAACCAGATTATTCTAAGAAACTGAAAATTTGTTCAAATTCATTTTTTTGAGAACCAAACAGTCCAGTTTTGGATGATTTTTCACTAACTGGCAGTTCCTCCTGTTTGTTTGTGTCTCTGGCTTGTTAAATCTCTGGTTTCCTTGTTTGCTCTTTTTGCCTGTAATTTCTATCAGACATTTCTCATTTTTCCTCTCATCAACTTGCCTTCTTCCCTTCCAGTTGCGCACAGTTTCCAATCAGCCACCTGCTTCTTGTTCAGCAATCAAGTCTCCGGCACAAATATTTGCGTTTATGCCACCAGCCTGTTTCCTCGTGCTCTCCTACTTTTGATTTTATTTTGAGTCGCTGCTGTGTTTTAGTTCTTGGGTTTACTTAATTTTATGTAAAACCTTTGACCTTCACCTGCCTGCCTCCTGCATTTTGGGTCCCAATTTACAATTTTATGACAAGTAGCTTCAAAATCTAGATTGGGCTTAAAGGTGCTTTCCAAACAAATAAGCATAGGTGCTGAATTATAAACTGAAAAAGAAATTATCTTCTGAAAATGTGTAGAAGAGATGGTTGTGGCAATTTGTACTCAGAAGACTGCTTAGTTCTGTGTAAAAGGATGGAGTTTAAATCCTACTATTGATCCACAATACCTCAAAGCAGGAATTAAGGTTTGAAAATAAACACAAAATGTTAACCCATAGGGACCACCATCCTGTTAAAAGCTGAGCCCCCTGCACATATGTACTGATGTGTACTGTCAATAAATGAGCCAGAACACAGAAAGACTGATGTACTCAGATCAGCTTCACCCAGTATGATCCATGTGTGCTGCACTGTAGATCAAAGGGTCCCCGGGGCACCAGAGGAGCTGTTCATCATCTTGACGCCCATTTATAAACCATTTACAACCCACACTTCCACCTGTCATCCTGTGTTTGCTCTGGTTGTCCTCCGCATAGGAAACCAACTATGATCACCCTGCAATGTCAACAAAAGGTCTAAGTTGGATGTTATCTTCAGCTTTTGCAGATGTGATGATTTGATTACAGTGCGTGATTTTGGGGGGTTTCTAATTAGCTTCTGCTGTAGTGGCAGCAGCTGATTATGGATTGACCTGTTTGACCAAAACAGCAATTTATATCTGGGTTCAATTAAGGCTCTGAAGAGGGTTTTAGCTCACGATGAAGCTGATCCTGATCATGTCCAGATGTTCTGCAGGCTTCTGAACCTGGTCCCAACTGAGCTCTCATCAGGCTGACAGAACAATAGTATTGTGAGACCTCTGAGCTAGAAAGGTGCCATGAGGAGAGGTGAAGGTTATGACAGGATGAGGAGCATTAACAAACACAGATTTCAGAGGTTTCTCAGATGTAATTCCACCCCGACTTGCCATAAACTCCTCACTCTGCCTTAACGGAGCATATTTGGCCACATGGAAACAGTTTCACCGCTAATAATTTTAACATGTTGAAAGATTTCTGTTCCTCGTCTGTCTCTTTATGCACCGTATGAATTTTTGCCATTCCCTCCCCCCTATCCTACATTTTTACACATAGGTTTCCTCCTGTTTCTAATTACCACATTTGCATCCCAGCTTTCACACATTCTTTTCACATCTTTTACCTCCTCTCTTACTCACCCCCCTGTCTGATGCGCTTCATCCTGATTCCACCTTGCTTCACTGTATTCCTCTCTGACAAAGTTCCTATGTGTGAATCCCTGTGGCAGATCTGATGCTGCTTATATTATGTGTTTTTGTGGGTTTAAATGACCCTCTCTGGTTCTGTAATCCCTTTAATTTTACTGTTTTGATGCCCCTCTAAAAACAATACCTCCACGGGCTATAAAATAGATTTGCCATACAGTAAAATCTGCAAAACAGTACAAAGCAGATAAAATATGGTTGAGGAAAAATATAAGCTATTTGATTTTCTTATAACTCACATGTAAGATCTGCATTAGAGGTGAAGTATGCCACAGAAGGAGTAAAAACAAAAAAACTTGGTTTATTAGTGAAACTTTGGACGCTTGTATTTCTTCAGATATGGGTTTGCAAGATATAATTTAAAAATAAATCTTTAGCTGTCATTATATGTTATATATTGTTGAGATGTGTTTGCAGTCATCTGCAGTGATACCATGTGTGTAAACAATACCGGTTAACGGTGTGTGTATATCAATGACTTACACATATAATATGGCTTATCTATTTGAACAACTAAGCTTTTCACAAAGACTCTAAGACAGACAATTGAAGTCTTTATTCTTAATTGTGGATGCAGAGAAAGTGTTTTAATCTTTTTTTGTGTGTGGTTTTCAGAAATGTTTGGTCTTTGCATGTTCAGATAGTGATTTGGAAAAGTTTTCTTCCATTTACATTTTCTACACTTTGTCATGCAACAACCGCAAACTTCAATTTCTCCAATTGAGATTTATCCAACAGGCTGATGGAAGGTTTAAAGCATATAATGCATGATGGAAACAAACGAAAGCAAACTTTTCAGTATTTTCTACCAATGGTATCTGACAGGTGCATGCATTTTGTATTTAGCCCAGCTGTGATAAGGAGGCAGAGGTTACTATTGCCTTGTATTACTAACAGTAACTGGCCTCGTTATTGTGTACAACAACTGGAAAATCCTGTTTTTCTGACTTGCAGCTAAAACACTGCGGCAGTATCACGTCTTTCAGAGCCTCTCAAAGATTTTCACTGAGGATTAAATGACTCGTACAACGTATTTGGAGATGCTAAAGATTTGTTATATAACCAAACCTTTCTTTAAACATCTGGAAAAACAAACAAACACTTTATTTATGATAGCACAAAGAGTCTGCTACCATGTGTCCTGAATGGAAAAAAATAATTAAAATGACATATGAGTTTAACAGATGGGTGGAATTTGTAAGCTGTCACAATATGAAAGTTTGATGTCAGTTGTTGAAAGTATCAAAGTGAGCTGCAGTGGTGAAGACACGTCATAGATTCTTCTGTACCCTTCAGCAACTGTGTTAGACCCATTCATAAATGTTTTCTCTTGCTTTCATCTTTTTTTGTGATACATGTCTGTATTTCCTTTCCAGTCTCTTGTTTGCATGCGGGCGCTTAACTCATTACTGGAACAGAAAAGCCACAAACATTGCATTTAAAACGAGGCGAAGGTTTAAAGAGTTTGTGATTGTCGTATAGCTTACATATGGGAGTTGTCAGCCATTACAGACAGCTAAAAACCCACAGCTTTTCATGAGACAATGGCATTCTGTGTTTTGTCTTGGCGTATGAAATACTTTAATTTCTCATAAAAGCAGAGTTGTTTTTGAAATTTATTTTAGGTGAAATCTACCAAGAAGCCAAGTTCATTTTTTAAAAGCAACTTTCGATTTTTGAGGGGACATGTTTAGCTGTTTGGAAAACTTGTTTTAACTAAAGTAAAATCAGTAAAATCGGATGATTACAGTCAGTCCCACAGTCTTAAACGTTACAGGCTTAACATCTCAGGCTGTAACCAATCAGATGTTGTTAAAAGATAGTGTAAATCATTTAAGTCAGGACCTGTGAAGGCTGCCAGAAATGCTGTACAAGCCCACTCTAATACTGTATTACTTTTCCAACTGCGTTTTAAACTACTCGATTAAATAATTTTATTTTAAAAAATTGGTAAACCCAACAGAGAAAAAACTGAAACAACACAAGATATGATTATGAATCTGTTATATCAAAGAAAGATCAGCTTTTTCTTTCATGCTTGGAAAAACACCCAAACAAAAATTGTATGTCGATCTCTCTCACATACCTTCTTCTAACCAGGAGGTCAAGTTCAACTAATCATCGAGCCAATCTTCATTTTTGACAGCAGTGGTTTTGGAGGTGGACTTTTATGGTCATGGGGCAACATTTTCCCAAGTGAGGGCAATTTTACCAATGGCTCCTTCAACATTAAGCTCTAAGGTCATTAGCAACGGAGGTTCTGTGTCCCTGATTGGCGTAGCAGACCAGGAAGTGGCTTCCACAGTGTATAGCTGTAATGTGCTTTAATGATGGTGGGTTTTGACCGTAGTTGGGTTTAGGTGGTGTTATAAGGTTTGGGGAAAAGCCCACACTCAAACCCCAGATGGGGTGAATTATTATAATTTAAGGCACATTGTGGTTCATTTTGGGGTGCTTGTAAAAAAATTGGAATAGTTTCATTAGGTCGTTTTAGGTCTGTGAGAAAAATAGTCAAAGAAATGATGGTTCTGTTCCAGCGGATGCCGCAGATGCTTGGTAGCCATGTTCGGTGGCACTGCAGTTTCCAGTGAAGGTAGGATGGGCCAAGAAAAAAGCTCAAAACAATGACACAGTCAAGAGTAGCTTGGTTAGAAATCCTACAGATATGAGTTTCATCATCTCCTAACTTTTTTCACCAGATGTATATCAGAGTAAACCCAGACATCAAATTTCAATGTCAAACCAATTTTTTCACTCTTCCAAGCCTTTACCTTTGTCTTAGCCCAGTCCTACCAGTTAGTCCCACCATGCATGCACCTGCGGGACAGTCTGTATCATCACCATCACTCCAGTTAACTTCAGTGTTGATGGTTCGGTAAAGCTTAAACAGTCCGGGATTCACACTGTGTGTACTATATTGGAAAA